AAAGAAATTAAAATAAAATTCCAGGAAGCTCAGAGAATCCCCAAAACCAGGGATCCAAAGAGGCTCACACCAAGACACATCATAATCAAAATGCCAAAGGTTAAATACAAAGAAAGAATCTTAAAAGCAGCAAGAGAAAAGCAGATAGTTACCTACAAGGGAACATCCATAAGACTGGCAGCTGATTTCTCAAAAGAAACTATGCAGGACAGAAGGGCTTGGCAAAAAATATTCAACAGGATGAAGACCCAGGATATACAATCAAGAATAATTTATCCAGCAACGCTATCATTTAGAGTTGAAGGACAGATAAAGAGCTTCCCAGACAAAAATAAGCTAAAGGAATTTATCACCATCAAGCCGGTATTACAGGAAATGTTGGAGGGACTTCTTTAAGAAGAAAAAACATGTATCAAAAACAGGAATAAAGAATGGTAACAACAACTACCTTCTTATCAATAAGTACCTTAAATGGAAAAGAATTAAGTGCTCTAACCAAAAGATAGAGTGGCTGAAAGAATAAGAAGACAAGACCTCTACACATGAAAAGGAAGGAGATGGAAAAATATATTGCTTTAATGGACCTAGAAGGTATTTAAGTCAGACAGAGAAAGATAAACACTGTATGATTTCACTTATATGTAGAATCTACGGAATAAAAAGAACAAACTAATCAAAAACAGACTCACAAATATAGTAGACAATTTGGTGATGGACAGAGGGGAGGGGGGTTGGGGGGGCTGGGAGAATGGGGTGAAGGGCTAAGGAAGTACAAATTAGTGGCTGATGGATGGCGGAGCATGGCATAGGGAATGCAGTTAGCATTAATACGTTGGCCAGGTGGAGGGTCAGAGGAGGGAGGGAGCAACTGGGGGGATCGTTTTATGAACTATACAGATGTCTAACCAATGTATTGTATACTTTAAAATAAAAAAATTAAAAAAATAATTTTGGTTAAATTTAAAATTATTGTTAATATAATTTATAGGTAAATGTCTGCATTTTCTCAGATATTTTTATACTTTGGATTTTAATAAATAACTAAGCTTAAAATATTGCATATTATAATTTGGTCCTTTTTTTAAATGACTAGTCTGCAGTTTTCACCATGGAAGTGCTCTTATGTGCATGGATGTTGTAGCAATGTCAGATTTCTGTAAAAGTGTCTTAATGCTTCTTTTCAATTTCTGTGCTTATTGTGTTGCAGACCAGCAACAAGCAGTCTGCTGATTGTTACTCATCTGTAGATCATACATAAAGTAACATCGATTGAGGTTGTTTATAGTCTTTTAAAAAAAATGACAAACCATTGTTTTCTGAACATGGTTGTGCACACATCTTTGTGCTAATGTGTGAATGTTTCTGTAGAATGAATTCCTAGGAGTATATTACTGGACAAAGAGTCTTGTATATTTATGATTTTAGAGGTTATTGCCAATTTGTCCTTTAAACATATTGCATCCATTTTATCTCAGTGATATGAGAGTACCTGTTTCCTCACAGTGTTCTATAAAACATCTTCATTTTTACTACTAGCATAGGTAAAATAAAAGTATATCTATACAATTGTTTTGATTTGCATTTCCTAAAGTTTAGCATCTTTCTATGTATGAGCCCCTTGCATATGTTTTTCTATGAATTATCTTATTATGTTCTTTCCTATGGAAAGAGGCTAAATATTGGTCTTTTTATTGATTTGTAAGAGCTCTTTCTCTATAGTCATGCACCAATAATGACAGAATACATTCTGCAAAATGCATTGTTAGCTGATTTCATTGTTATGTTAACATCGTAGAGTGTACTTAGACAAACCTAGATGGTATAGTCTACTACATACCTAGGCTGTATGGTTTAGCTTATTGCTCCTGGGCTGCAAACCTGTATAGCACGTTACTGTATAAAACAACACAAGATTAATCAAGCATAAGAGAAAGTAATGCAAATGAGATATGGTAAACATAAGATATGTGAGGCTGGGTTAACATAGCATATGGCAAACTTTTTTTAATAAATTGAATGAGTACACTCTTAAATAATGATAAAAAGTATAGTAAATACATAAACCAGTAACATAGTCATTTATTATTGGTATCAAGTATTGTGTACTATACACATTTTTATGTACTAGGATTTTATATGACTGACGGTACAGTAGATTTGTTTACACCATTATCACTAATATGTTATATATTGTGTATGACATGATGGCTACGATGTCACTCAGCAATAGGAATTTTACAATTTTATTATAATTTTATAGTACCACTGTCATATGTGATCTGCTGTTGACCAAATGTCTTTATGCAGTGCATGACTGTATAAGGAAAATTAGCCCTTTATCTGACAAATATCTTGCATAATTTTCCCCAGTTCTGTTGCTTTTTTAAGTACCGATTTAAAATAAATGAATATGCACTGAGTTAAAACATTATTGATTTTTAAATCTTGAATTAAACTTTTTTCCCTGAACTTGGATACATGCTTACTGCTATTTTGCAGATGGACCAATTTTTACATGAGCATGTATCTGACAGATAATAATGAGAATACATTATGAATTTTTATTTTTATATTTTTGGTTTCAGAGCTACACTTTTTTCTTTCTTTCTTTCTTTTTTTTTTTTTTTGCTGCTGTAAAGGATATTTTACTGATTTTTTTCTGTGACTATTTACAACCACTGATTGTTCGGAGGCTCAGTGGTCTCTTAACTGTAGGTGAGATTGAGAGTACTACTTTTAATGGTAGCCATCCTAATCATATTTCTTGTTTTGCAACAGGAGCCAAAGGAGGAGAATGAATTGCAGAAAACGAAGACAGAACAGTCAAATAGAGCCAAGTGTTTGGCTAAACGAAAAATTGCACGTATGTTTTCATTTTTGTGTTGAGAATGGTTTAGAAATTGCAGCAGTCATAGAATTGACACTAGTTTCTCTATTAGGAAGAGATTTCTCTGAATAAAGATGTATGTGCTTCCTGTTTATTTTGGATCCCATTTAAATTTTTAGGAGTTAAAATTACTTATAGCTTATACAGTTGACTTGTAAGAGGCAGAGTGTTAAAATTTAAAATGTGACCTTCAGAGTTAGGCATACTTGGATTTGAATCCTTGCTTTTCAGTCTTTACTATGTAGACCTTAGGTCACTGCTTTCAGCCTACCTCTATTTCCTTATCAGTAAAATGCAGATAATTCAACTCACTTAGAATGTCACTTAATAAAATTGTAAGGGAAAAACTCTTCTGTGTTTCCTCTACTCCCAGTCATCAAATGTGTAGGGTTTTCCCCCCAACACTAAGAAATTCTGCAACTCTGGCAGACAAAGACTGGGTGTCCTACAGTTTAACACAATTCTGACCCTAGAATTGAGTTAGAGATAGTGTCAGATATAGTGTCAGCTCTCCTAGGTGAAGGACTCAGTCTCACAGGGCTACCTCTGCTTCACACACCAATTGCAAGTCCAGGTTGTTACTTGTGCTTCTGACCGACTAGCTGTAAATTTGAGATTCTTGTGACTCCCTCTTCAGGTTTGATTAATTTACTAGAATGGCTCATAGAACTCAAGGAAACAATTTACTTACTAGATGACTGTTTGTTTGTTTTTGTTTTTAAATAAAGGATGTGACTCAGAAACAGCCACATGGAAAAGATGCATAGGGCAAGATTGAGGGAAAGGGTGCGGAGCTTTCATGCCCTCTCCAGGTGTGCCACCCTCTCAGTATCTCCACGTGTTCACCAACCTGGAAGCTCTTCAAACCCTGTAGTTCAAGGATTTTTATGGAGGCTTCATTATGCAGGCATGGTTGAGTAAATACTTGGTAATTGGTGGTTAATCCAACTTCCCCTCTCACCTCCCTGGAGGGTGGGAGTGGTGTTAAAAATTCCAAACTTCTAATCGAGGCAGTTGGTTCCCCTGGCAACCAGCTTCCATTTTGGGGGGCTTTCCAAAAGTAAGCTTATTAACATAAATTCAGGAGTGATGCGGAGGAATTTGTTATGGATAACAAAAGACACCTTTATTGCTCTTTTTACTAAGGAAATTTCCAGGTTTTTAGGAGCTCAGTGCCAAGAGACAAAGACCAAATATATATTTATCAGTATAAATTACAGTATCACAAAAATCCTTTGTTGGAGGTTTTGCTTTCTCTTTGTTACTCAGTTGAAAGACATTTATTTATTTAAAGTTGTTTTATACTAGTTTATTTATGGGGGTTCCATTTTCATCTCTCAATAGAGTTTATGTATTTCTCACATGCTTTTTCATTCATTAGTTTATCTAGTTCTGAGAGATTACTCAGTATCATTTTGATCAGTCATGTATCTTCATAACAAGAATTGTTGACAAGTCTTGGATTTTATGCAAGAGCTTAATTAATTTCACTTAACTTCTGATAGAGGAGAATAAGAGTTCACTAACAGGTTTCACATTTTCCAAAGCACCAAACGTATCTTATTTGTTCAATTTTGTTCCAGCTTCAGGGAAACAGTAAACCACATCTCCCAAAGCTTTCTGTGCAAAACTGCTGTTCCCTGTTCTTCCAGTCACATTTTTTGTTGTTGCCCATTAATGTTTATCTGTGAATTTACACACCAAGAGCAGAGGGGGGCCGGTGCCCAGTTTCTGGACAGCGCCCACCCTTAGCCCCCAGGGTTACATACAGTCAAGGCAGATGGACACAGAAGCCTGTGGTATTCTGCAGGCATAGGCTTGCTCCACACTGCTTGCAATGTCATGTAGGCAGGAGTGTGAAGGGTGGAGGGGGTGGTTTGAGGCACAGCTCCTGGTACCTGAGCGAGGTGGCTGGATGGGGCATAGGGGCTAATTATTATATTTTTGCATTTTAATATGTGAATGTTCAGATATTTCAGTGAACTTTACAAAAAGTATGTATGATGATAACTAGTCGAAATTATTACAACAGTTGTTTGAAGATAAACGGCTTTTTTCACTGTTAATTTGAATTTCGGTGATTTAAAGAATAATTCTCAGCCTCGTAAAATTAATCATAAACAGCTCTTTGTTGTTAAATCACTGAATTATATCTAGAGGTGGCGGTCACTATGGTTAGATCTGTTGAATGTACTCAAGTTACTTTCAGACTTGAGAATTATTGGTAATTGTTACTTTTTGAGATGTGATCTTTATCAATTCATAATTAAGTTTTTGCCACCATTGGTTAAACTGTCAATAGTTGTCTGGTTGGTAAATCCAGATCTTTATAGTAAATTGGGTTTTACTTGTTTGTTTAGTTGTGTCATGCTTTTTTATCCAATCTGACAGTCCTTTTTATCTTTTTATCTAGTCTGACAACTTCTATCTTCTGCATTTATATTTGATGTAATTACTGATGTGATTGTATTAAAAGTTACCATTTTAAAAGCTGTTGATTTGTTCTAACTTTCTTTTTCTGTTCGATTTTTTATTTGTTGAGTACTATTTTGATTGCATTTCACTTCTATTTATATGTCTTTTAAAAAATGTTTAGTGGTTGCCCTAAACTTTACAATACACATACTTAATCACAGTCACCTTCAAATACTGTTAATTGCTTCATGTATAGTGTAAAGACTAACAGTATACTCCCAGTTCCTTTCTGCCCTCCTTTGTGTTATTTTTGCCACATATGTTACTTTTACGTATGTTGTAAACACAGTACATAGATACTCTTTTGCTTTAGATAATTGTCTTCTAGAGCATCAATTCTCACTCAACCTTTTTGGCACCAGGGACCGGTGCTCCTATGAGAATCTAATGCCTGATAATCTGAGGTGAAGTTGAGGTGGTGTTGCTAGTCCTGCAAATACTGATGAAGCTTTGCTTGTTCAGGCTGTGTGGCCCAGTTCCTAACAGGTCACGGACCCATACTGGTCTGCAGCCTGGGCACTGGGGACCCCTGTTTAGAGCAATGGAGATAAAAGATAAAGAACTGCATACTTTGTGCCATCTCAATGGCTGTTTCTTTGCATAGGTCCTAGTTTCTGTCCAGTGTCGTATTTTTTTCTGTTGGAAGAGCTTCCTATATCACTTCTTATAATGTAGACAAGTTGCCAATTCTCTATTTCTGTTTAAGAAAGTCTTTAATTTTTGATTTTTATGGTAATTGCTTTACTACTGAGATATGACTCATACCATATAATTCATTCATCATACATTTATCATTTAAAATGTGCATTGATTTTTAGTATGTTAACAGTGTCATGCCACCATCACCAGAATCTTAAATCCAGAACATTTTCATCTCCCCAAAAAGAAACTCTATACACTTATGAGTCACCCAAAGCCCTCATCCTTCCCAGCCCTAAGCAACTACTAAATCTGTTTTTTGTCTCCATAGATTTGTCTATTATGGACATCCCATATAAATGGAATCTTATAATACGTGTTTTTTTGTGTGTGTGTGACTGGCTTTTTTCACTTAGTCTAATATTTTCAGGTTTATCCATGTTTTGGTATGTATCAGTAATTCATTTCTTTATTGTCAGCTAATATCCCATTGTATTGGTGTACCACATTTTGTTTATCCATTTATCATATGATGTACATTTGGGTTGTTTCTACTCTGGCTATTATGACTAAAGTTGCTATGAACATTCATGTATGAGTTTTTGTGTAGACATCGGTTTTTATTTTCTTAGGTGTATATACTTAGGTGTGGAATTCCTGGTTTATATGGTAACTCAATATTTAATCATTTGAGAAACTGCCAGACTGTTCTCTAAAGTGGCCACACCAATTTACATTTCCATCATTGTCATATGAGGGTTCCAGTTCTTCCACATCCTTGCCAAAACTTTTTTTTATTATGGCCATGCTAGTGGGTGTGTAGCAGTATTTCATCATGGTTGTGATTTGCATTTTTCTAATGGCTAATGATGTTAAGCATCTTTTCATGTTCCTATTGGCCATTCGTATATCTTTGGAGAAATGTCTATTAAAAAATATTTTTATTGTGGTAAAATACAGGTAACAAAATATACTATTGTAACCATTTAAGAAATGTTTATCATGAAGAGATGTTGAATTTTGTCAAATGCTTTTTCTGTGTTGAGATCATCATGTGAGTTTTGTCTTTTATTCTCTTGATTTGTGGTATTAACGGATTTTCATATGTTTAAATCAGCCTTGCATTCCTGGGATAAATTCTACTTTGAGGAACTCAATCAAGGAAGAACTAATTAAATGATGACTCAATAAGTAAATACTTCTCTCCACTCTGTTCTTACTTGCATGGTTTCTGTGAAGTCAGATGTAACTCTTATCTTTGTTTCTCTTTAGGTAAGATGTTTCTATGGTTTTTTTTCAGAGTTTTTTATATTAGATTTTCTTTAGTTTGAAAATGATATGCCTAGATGTAGGTTTGTTTGTTTGTTTATATCTTGTATCTTTCCTGTTTTGTGTTTCTGAGCTTCCCGGATCTATGGTTTGGTATTTGACATTTATTTGGGGGAAATTCTGAATCATTGTTTCACATTCTGCTTTTGCTCTTTTTCCCTTCTGGTAATTTCATTACGTGTTTGCTACTCTTTTTGTAGTTGTCCCACAGACCTTAGATAGTTTGTTTTATTTTCAGTCTTTGTTTTCTTAATTTTTAGTTTTGGAAATTTCTATTACTATATCCTCAAGCTCAGATTCTTTCCTCAGTTGTGTTCAGTCTACTAATCAAAGACATTCATTTCCATTAGTTTTTGATCTCTAGCCTTTTTTTTTTTTTGGTTCTTTCATAGGATTTCCATCTCTGTTTATATTCCCCATCTGTCCTTGCATGCTATCTACTTTATCCATTAGAGCCCTTAGCATATTAATCACAGTTGTTTTAAATTCCCAGTCTGATAATTTCAACATCTCTGCTATGTCTGGTTCTGATG